GTAGTCGTAGTCGTAGTCGTAGTCGTAGTCGCAGGTAGTAGTAGTAGTAGTAGTAGTAGTAGTAGTAGTAGTAGTAGTAGTAGTAGTAGTAGTAATAGTAGTAGTAGTAGTAGTAGTAGTAGTAGTAGTCGTAGTAGTAGTAGTAGTAGTAGTAGTAGTAGTAGTAGTAGTAGTAGTAGTAGTAGTAGTAGTAGTAGTAGTAGTAGTAGTAGTTATAGTAGTAGTAGTAGTAGTAGTAGTAGTAGTAGTAGTAGTAGTAGTAGTAGTAGTAGTAGTAGTAGTAGTAGTAGTAGTAGTAGTGGTGGTGGTGGTGGTGGTGGTGGTAGTAGTAGTAGTAGTAGTAGAAATAGCAGAAGTAGCAGTGGGAGTAGTCGTAGGAGTAGTGTTAGTAGTAGTAGTAGTAGTAGTAGTAGTAGTAGTAGTAGTAGTAGTAGTAGTAGTAGTAGTAGTAGTAGTAGTAGTATTGGTAGTCGTACTGGTTGTGGCTGGGCCGCGGCCGGACCAAATGTAACTCTTCCGGCGGCCAGTGCCGCGCGGTGTCCCGACGGTGTCCTGCCGGTGTCCCGAAATTCTCCTGTGGCTGGGCCGCGGCCAGACCAAATGTAACTCCTCCGGCGGCCGGTGCCCCGCGGTGTCCCGCCGGTGTCCCGCGGGTGTCCCGTGGTGTCCGCCGTTGCTAGGGAGAAGTCACGACAAATGATTCTCCCCCTCCCGCCCGTCCAGCGGTGGCTCGCGGTGTCCCGCGGTGTCCCGTGGTGTCCCGTTGAATGAGATCGATAGTGAGATTGATAGTGAGATCGATAGTGAGATTGAGATCGATAGTGTGATCGATACAGATCGATGTGGTGCCCCGAGGTGTCCCGTGGTGTCCCAAAAAGTGACATTGCCAGTGAGATCGATAGTGAGATCGACAGGTGTCCCGTGGTGTCCCGTGGTGTCCCGTTGTGTCCCGTGGTGTCCTGTTGAGTGAGATCGATAGTGAGATCGATAGTGAGATCGATGTGGTGTCCCGAGGTGTCCCGTGGTTTCTTACGGTGTCCCGTTGAGTGAGATTGATCGTGAGATCGATAGTGACACCGATAGTGAGATCGAGAGGTGTCCCGCGGTGTCCCGTGGTGTCCCGTGGTGGCACCTGGTGTCCCGTGGTGTCCCGTTGAGTGAGATCGATAGTGAGATCGATAGTGAGATCGACAAGTGTCCCGTGGTGTCCTGTGGTGTCCCGTGGTGTCCCACTGAGTGAGATCGATAGTGAGATCGATTGAATCAGATGTTGGTTCCCCCCCCTCTCCCCCCACACAACCTCCTTAGCACCCGAAGGGTGGTCGTATAGGTATATGTATATTATACATGTACCCTGTTATCTGTGGCATGTGCTCTGGGTTCCATCGTACTTTCCACGGGATTTTTCGGTCACCTTTCGCGTGCCCTGTCTTGCTCCCCAGGAACGTGTCTGAATCCTTCAGGCTCCTTTCGAGTTCTAGAGGAACTAGTACCGACGGAGTCCGTCGGAGGCAGCAGTATGCCAAAGGAAATCTTGCAGAAGCGTGTAGAGCCCTGGGGATCCCTCAAGAGCGGCATAGAGCTTTCATATTAGATTGGTTGGCAAATCCAGGAGAAATTCTCGGTCAGCCTCAGAGATCTTGGAGGACACGCTACACATATCAAGGCCAGTCAGGATTCTTCGGAAAGCTTCAGAAACCCTTGGTGATCCCAGGCCCTCAGGATTATCATTGAATTCTTTTGGCATGTTGCAGGTCGCGGAGGAAGTCCACAGGAGTCATGGTGCCATATTTTGAGTCCTGCAAGAATTCTTCTCGCTTCCCAGGGACATCCAAAGGACTCCTCAGGAACTGTTTGGGGGACTCCAGGAGCCCGTTCGTGGGCACGGCGCCCATCCCTGCCACTCCGCAGAATTTGTCAATCATGCATTGGCTTGGTGATCGGACTCACAGGAGTGGCCCGGGTGGATGAGGTGGTGTTCTCCTTTCGGGGTGAGGGACAGTGAGCATGCATCCCAAGAACGGCCTCCTCTCCCCTGCTGCTGCTGTGTTTCCTTCTCCTCCTCCTCCTCCTCCTCCTCTTCCTCCTCTTCCTGCTCCTCTTCTTCGTCCTCCAGCTCCTCCTCTAGCTCCTCCTCCTCCTCCTCCTCCTTCTCCTCCTCCTCCTCCCCCTTCTCGTCCTCCTCCTCCCCCTCCTCTTCTCCCCGCCTTGGGGGGGGGGCAGAAGAAGGCCAGGGATGGGAGGATTCAGGTCGCGCAAGTGAGACCAGAGCAGAGGGGGTTCGGGGGGTCGCGCCGCATAACCGGTGCATTCGCGAGCGGTGCGGCCCTCCCGTCCCATCTACTCCAGCCCCATTTGGGCGGCCTCCAGAGGAGAACGAGGCGGAGGAAATAGGAGGGGGCCGGGGCGGGGGAGGGGAGGAATGGCAAGGGGCTTCGCCTGGCGAGGGGCCCCCCCGCTCCGCCTCCACTGCACGGCGTCGGAAGTTTGGGTGCGGGGGTAAAATCGGGCAACGAGATCCAAACATATCCTCTGCTCCCTGGCCAGGTCCATCCTGAACCCAGGAGCTGTGCATACGCCCTCCTGGCCAAGCCACGAGGGCGTGGCGTATACACCGCTGCTGGGTTCAGGATGGGCCCGTCCAGGGAGCAGTGGACATGTGTGGATTTCTTTGCCCTGTGCCAGATAATTTCCCGGACGCGTCCAGGGTGCGAGCTGGCCCGGATGTCGAGCGGCGGACCCGGCCGTGGCCACGAGGAGCGGGCGACCTCCCAGACCCTTGTTCGTCGCAGCGCGGCAGAGGCAGTCCGCATGCGCGCCCCAGCGAGACCAGGGCATGGGATCGCGAATTAGTCCGCACGCAAGAGGCGAGGGAGAGAGGCGAGGGGGGCGGCCGCGGTGGGGGGAACCGGGCGCGGGGGCACTCACGCAGCGGGGCTGCGGCGAGCGGGCGGGGGCGGCCGTGCTGAGGGGCAGCCTCTGGCAGCCGTCGTGGGTCGGCATCGCGATGCACCCAGGGGTGGGGCCAGCAGCCGCAGCGCGGGCGAAGCCCAGCAAGTGGGGAGGGGGATCCTCCACCGCGAGGTGGCCTACGCCACTGCCTTCGACGGGTTTGCGATGTTCTGCCAGCTGCTCACGCTGGCGGTCATACTCTCGAACATGGTCGTGAGCCTCGCCATTGGCCTCGTGGAGGAGGGGCCGCTGCGTGCTGCGCCTGCCTCCCTCCTCGTGTCCCCGAGGCTTGACTGATCTCCCTTTGCGTCGGGGACGACGTCGAAGTTGGCGTCGTCGATCCGAGGCGTGGATTCATGGATAGCCACCGCTTGGGGGATCGATTTTCGGGGACCTCGGCAGTCGGTGGATATGGATAGATTGCGGCCCCAGAGGACGTCGTCCCCCTACGCGGTGGTTATTGATAAATCCCTGCCTCGCAGTCGATGCCGTCGCCGTCGCCGAAGTCGGCGTTGACGACGCCCTCGCACGTAAAGCATGAGCTTTCGGAGGGGGGGGGGCCCAGTGCCGACCCTTGAGCCCCGCGCGGGCCGGACCCCGAGCGAGTTGGGGAGGAGGAGGAGGAGGAGGGAGGAGGAGGGCGGAGGAGGGCGGAGGAGGAGGAGGAGGAGGAGGAGGGCGGAGGAGGAGGAGGAGGAGGAGGAGAAGGAGGAGGAGGAGGAGGAGGAGGACGAGGAGGAGGCACCGAGGAAGTTCAGATGCTTCCCCAGCAAGGCCTTCGGAGGAAGGTCTGGGGGAGGCCGCCACCCCAAGCGGTGGGTTGCGGGCAGGAGGGGCTCCTGGGCTGCACTGGCCGTGGTCCGTCTCTCTGCTCCGTGAGCTGTCTGCCAGGCAGGCCAGCCAGCCAGGTTTGACGATGTGCTCAGACAGGTTGCCTTTTCGAGCAGCTTTTTGTTCCTCGGTCCTCGTGGTGAGGGATGCCTCCACCTCCGATGCGGTAGGTTCGCGCCACGATGACGCTGCAGCGTTCCGGCGCGGGCGTTCAAGTTTGAACGCCGCGGGTGGTCAGAATCGGTCGAACGATCTGCGCTATCAGAAAGCCGCGATCGTTCAAGGTCGAGCCCTTCACGCGGTGTGAGAAATCAAGGCACAGGTCGTCACGACACGAATCCGCCGGCCCCGAGAGGCTCGCATGAGGCCCCCAAAAGGCTCCCAAAAGATCCCAAGAGGCCTGCAAGAGGTCCCAGGAAGCCTGGAGAGGCCCCCAAGAGGCTCCCAAGAGCCTCCCAAGAGGCCCCCAAGAGGCTCCTAAGGGGCCCCATAATGCCTCCCCAGAGGCCCCCGAGAGCCTTCCGAAGAGACCACAAGAAGCATCCCTGAGGACTGTTCAAAGGGCACAAGCCGCCTGGACCGACCTTCATCGGTTTTTCCGATCGCCTGCTCACCTTGGGGCGTCTCCCCAAGCAAACCTCCAGGCGCGCTTCGATGCTCACCGCTGGCACACCCGTGCTCGCCTTTCAGTATTCCTGAGTGCTGCGCGCGGATTGATTTCAACAGTCCCGTAGCTCTGGACCTGGGCCGCTGAGGGAGGTGCCCCATGGCGGCGCCTTGTTTTTGAAAGTGGTGCTTTTTGCTTGGGTCTGCAGACGGGGTGTGCCTTGCCTTGATCGCCACAGACCCGCCTTGTTTTCCAGTCGGGGTCTTACAAACCGCGCTAGGGGTAGGATTTTTCCACCCCGGTACACTCTGCGGACACCCCGCAAATGCGAGGGAGGCCCGAGCGGCCAGAACCCCCCTCGAGGCCTGGACGAACTGTCGTCCGAACTGTTGCGCCGTCCCCCTCTCCCCCTTTCCCTCCCCCTTCTCGCCCCATTCCCTGCCCCGCACTCTTGAGGCCTGGCGCAGCATCTGCTGATTCCAGGCGAGGCGCCAGCTCGCTTCGCAGGCCAGCGCCGATTGAGGCCGGCGGGTCGATCGGTGGCGCCAGGGATGCCGCAGGACCAGGGTTGCGACGATGACGAGGTGCTCGAGGGCATCCTGGCGGTGCGCAGGAGGGAATTCACGAGCCGCGAACATATCTCGTCGCTCGCGATCTGGACTGGGGCGCGATCCCGCGGATACGTGGTCCAATGGATACGTTCCGCGCAGTGCATCCGGGAAACATCGTCCCGTATCCGCGGGGTCGCGGCCCAGGTGCACGGCCCTCGAGGCCCGGGATGCGGATATGGATTTCGCCCACGAAAGACGGGGTGATTTCTAAAGATTTTGTGGGGGCTCCCGCTCTTCCTGGGCCTCCTCGGGGTCTCAGTTGCCACGGCCAGGCAGGGCTCGAGACAATGACCGGGATGGGGGAGACGCCGACCATAATGGCTTCTTGGATGGGGTCCAGACAGCAGACTCGAGCGGTTGGTGATCTGGGGTGGGGCGAGGGCGACTTCGGGAGGAGGGAGGGGGCTTCTCGGGGGGGATCGGTCCCGTTTCAGAGGCTTCGAGGAGGGCTTCTTCGAGGCCGCCCCCCCCCCCCCCCCCCCCCGCCCTGCCCCCTTTCGTGCGCGCCGCCGAACTCCCCTGGGTGCTCCAGCAGTACGACCTGTCGGAGGACGGCGGCTTCCTCCCCGCCAGGTGCTTGCGCCGCCTGCCCCCCGCCTACGACGCGCTCGAACGCCTGGTCGAGGAGCTGCCCGCGCTGAACCGCGAGGGCGCCCTCTGCGCTGCCGTGGACGGCATGGAGGAACTCGCGCCGTCGCTGCTGGCCGGGGCGGCGCCCGAGGAGCTGCGCAGGCTCTACCTGCTGCTCGGCATGCTGGGCCACTCGTACGTGCACGGGCGGAAGGTGCCGTGGCATCTGCTCCAGCATCAGGGCAACGTTAGGGGGTTCAAGGGGGGTGCATCGACTTGGGATTGACGATGCATCGCCGATAAGTCGGCGATGGGCCCCTGACGGCGAGGCCGCACGGTCCTGGGCGGGGTGGGCAATCAGGACTCTATCGGCGATCAATGTGCGATTGGGGGTCGATGCCGCCCCCCTCCGGAGCCTGTCCCCCCATACGTTGCCCCTCACAGCAGGACTCCAGCGGCGAGGCGGCCGGCGGCGGAAGCGCAGTCTGCCCGGGCGGTCCGGACCCGCCCTTGCCGGCCCAGCTGTCGAGGCCCTGGCTTCAAGTCTGCTGCTTGCTCCGCATGCCGCCCGTGCTGACGGCGGCCGCCACGGACCTGTGGAACTGGCAGCTGAAGGACCTCGCCGAAGGTACTGATGCTACCAATCGGCGGCGCCCTCACTGGGGAAGGCAGACGGGGTGGGTCTTCTCAGATGGCTCAGAAGGGCTCTGGCCTTCTGAGAAGCTTTCTGAGCCTTCTTCGAAGCCGCAGACGGCTCCTCAGAAGGCTGGAGGACTTCCGAAAAGCCCCGTCGCCTTCTTAGCAGGTCCGCCCCCTCTAATGTCCCCCTTAGCGCGCCGCCGAACCAATCCAGAGCACCTGGAGCTCACGGCCTCCCTGACGGGCACCGCCACGGAGAGGTGTTTCCACATGAGCGACGCAAATGAACGGGGTCGTCTGCGCCGACATTGTCGCGTAAGCTGCCCGCGTAAGGTCGCGCGTAAGCGCCCTCGCTTCAAAGGTGGCGTGCCGCGCTGGCGGCCCGCGTAAGCCGCCGCGTAAGGTCGCTACGTCATCTCGCGTAAGACTCGCTTCTTTTCGTCGCCCACATGGTGCCCTGCGCGATGCAGCGGGCGGCCGCTCGGGTGGTGCCCCGGCTGTTCCTGGCCGACCTGCTCGTCCGCGGCGGGCGCGGGCCGGCCCTCGCTGCGCTGCTCGGAGAGCTGGCCGCGGTGCTGCGGACCTTCCTGCGGATCTTCCAGCTGGTGGGCAAGCTGGTGGACGTGGGCACGTTTTACAACGTGTACAGGCCTCGAGGAAGCAGAAGCGGCATGAGCGTGTCCAGTCGGAGCTCCGCGCGGACTTGTTGGATCGGCGCTGGGCCTCCTTGGCGGCACCTCCGGCGCGGCCCCTGGCGCGCTCCGCGCGCCAGGGAGGGGGGTCCAGCGCCGATCCAAGAAATCCGCGCGGACTCTTAAACATTTACATGTCTGCAGTTTTTTCTTCCTAAGGCCACTGCTTGACGGCTTCTATCCTGGAGGCATTGTCCTCTGCGGCATATCTGCCGACGCCGCGGCCGAGGCATCCTCCTTCCTCAAGGTCGAGAGCGTCGAGGCCGAGGCTCCCGATGGCGCAGCTGTCCGCGTGCGGTGCAAAGGGCCGAGCGCTGGGCAGAGCACGATGTTCATACTCTTCGACGCTTTCCTCTGCGTCGAGCACGATGCAGTGGGCGCGGATTTCCAGACAGAGATGCTGTCCTACATGCCCGAGCAACACCGGCACATGGTCGCCGCCTTCAGGAGGAGGTGGCAGGACGTACCCTCGGTAAGGGAGTTCGTGCACGCGCAGGCGGACGAGGTGCCCAGGGCGGACAACATCACCTACACCCTTACCACTTTCGTCCTGTTCACTCCCCCCGGCCTCTTCCCTCTCCTCCCTCTCTGTGCGTATGGCTAGAGAGAGGGTGGCCAGCGGAGACCTGCTTGTCCGGTGACTCCCCAGACATCCGCCGATCTGTTTTTGTCAATCTGTGGCTCCAGAGGTCTCGACCGCATCCCAGGGGGTAGTTTTAAGTCGGGCATGTCCCTCTACAGGAGGAATATTCAGAATAGTAAAAAAATAGTGTTCCAAAGTCCGCCACTGGGAGGACATGCCCGACCTAAGGGTAGTTTTTCGCACCCGAAGCCATTCTCCGAGCACCGAACTCGAACCTAAGCTCTGGAGACTTGGGTCCGCGGAGGTGGGTGGCCCGGCGCTCGCCGAAGCGTACCGGGGGTGCGTCAGCGCCCTGCGCAGCGTGCGCCAGGCCCACCTCGCCACCGTCACGCAGTACCTCGCCAGTGCCAGCGTGGGCACAGGCTCGGCGGCGAGCGAGGGGGGGGGGAGGGAGAAGGAGAAGGTCCTCTCAGAAGGCGGCGGGACTTCTCAGAAGCCATCGCAGCCTCTGCGAGGTTTTCCGTGTGCCCTCGGGGGAGGCTTAGAAATCGTCTCGGAAGGCTGGGGGACTTCCGAGCCTTCTGAGAAGGCCTTCTCCTTCTCGCTTCCCCCCCTCGCTCGCCGCCAACAGGCGCCAGCCAGTGGAGGGCGATGCTCCAGGCCACGCTCGAGAGTACCGCCAGGGCCGCCTGCATCCCCCGCCGCGTCCAGTGACCCGGGCGGGAGGGCGCGGGTGGGCCCCGGCGGCGGTGAGCACGTGACCGGCGCGGAGCGAACTGCCCCCGCCAGCGGCGCCGTTCACCCGTCGAGCTCCCGCTCCGCGGATAGCATCACTGCCGTCGACGTCGTGGCTCACCGCCCACCAGACCACCCCAACCCAACCCGAAGGCCCCGAGTTGCCCTGGCCGCCGCTCCCTGCACGTTGGGGCGCCGGCGGCGTTGTTCTTGAGGTCCAGGAGGCACGCGCTGGTTTGTCCGCGAGAGGAGCCTAGCGGCAAGGCAGTCGAACACGCGCACTGACTCTTTCTCTCTCTCTCTCTTCTCCCTCCCCTCCCTCCCTCTCTCACTCTGTCCCTCTCTTTCTCGCTATCTTACTTGGACGATCAAGCCTAACATTATAGACATACGTGTATGTACAGCTACATATATATATATATATATATACACACATGTACTCATACAAGACTGCAATGGCGCTTCGCGCCATGCACCCTTGGCCCTTTTTTTGCATGCATGTGGACTGAGAGGAGAGGGAGAGGGAGAGAGCGAGAGTGAGATGTACACATTTTTTTATATTATTTTTAGAAACATATATATATATATATACATACATACATTTACATATACATATATATATATATATACCTCGGAGGTTGGGGGTGAGATCGAAGTGGAACGGAGAGCCCCCCACCAGGAAATCGGTTTCGGTTTCGTGTTCGTGCGTGCCGTGCGTGCGGGCGAGGCGAAGCTGCGTGGGCGGGCGAGAGGAAAGTCTCCTGTGGCTGAGGCGCGGCTGGACCAAATGTTTCCCCCCCAGCAAACGGGGCCGCGCGGTGTCCCGCCGGTGTCCCGCTGGTGTCCCAGTAAGTCTCCTGTGGCTGAGGCGCGGCCGGACCAAATGCTTCCCGACCGGCAAACGGGGCCGCGCGGTGTTCCGCCGGTGTCCCGCTGGTGTCCCGCCAGGGTCTCGCTGGTGTCCTGGTGTCCCGCTGGTGCGAAAACGATAGTGAGACCGATAGTGAGATCGATTGTGAGATCGATTGTGAAATCCGATAGTGAGATCGATAGTGAGATCGATCGAGTGAGATCGATTGTGAGATCGATTGTGGGATCGATTGTGAGAACGATAGTGGGATCTATGGTGAGATCGATTAAGTAAGATCGATAGTGAGATCGATCGAGTGATATCGATAGAGAGATCGATAGTGAGATCGATAGTGAGATCGATGTAGTGATATCGATAGTGAGGTCGATAGTCAGATCGATCGTGGGATCGATAGTGGGGTCGAAAACAAGATTGAGAGTGAGATCGACAGTCAAATCGATCGAGTGAGACCGATAGTGAGATCGATCGAGTGAGATCGATAGTAAGGTTGATAGTGAGATCGATCGTGGGATCGATAGTGAGACCGATGGTGAGATGCAAATCGAAATACAGATCGAAATGCAGATCGAAAAGCAAAGCGACATGCACATCGATAAGCACATGCAAATGCAAATCGTCAGGCACATCGACATCCCGTACTGTATGCTGTGCCAAGAGCGGGTGGCAACGCAACAATTTCTGAACACCAAGGCTCCCAGTACGAACGTTGGCGGAACAGGCTTGTAAGGGTCGGACGGCCTGGACGCGCAGCGCACAAAGTACGACACACTCGAACGGTTCCGCCGCCATTGTGCCAAGACGGTCCAGACTCTGGACTGCGAAGTGTTGGGGAGTGGTGAAGTCCTGACGCAGTACTCGCAGCGCGCGCGCAACGAGTTGCAGTACGACGCGCAGGTCTGGGACCTGGGGCAGCATGCGGGCCGAACCACGGGTGCGTGCTTCTGGTTATGCCTCGCAGCAGGCCTGGCCGAACGCGGGCCGGACGTTTTGGCCCAGGCCTTGCCAGGCAACGCTCCAGCCCATCAAGCGGCAGGCCAACTGACAGCGCAGGGTGTGCAGCAGTGTGTCGACGCTGGCGTGCGTCACTCGCCTTTGGGTGTGGTGGCGGAAGCTCTCCGGGCCCGGTTCTGCGGCGGCGAAGCCGCTGTGCTGCTCAGAGCCGACATGAAGAACATAATCTACCCGGCCTTTGCTGGCCTGGATGTCCGGGGCCCCGTGCGCAACGAGGCGCTGTGCACTCGCTGGGTACAGAAACTGGCAACTAAAGAGTACGCGGACGAGTTGGTCGTCATGTCGGCCGCCTTGGAGTTGGGCATCCGCATCACTGTCATCCCTTTCACTCCACCGACGGCGCTGGTGCAGTGGGCGATCCCGTCTTATGGGCCAGATAACGCCACCGTCGTTGTTCACGTGGGCAAGAATGATTTGAATTATGTTTATCTGTCGCGGCAATCGTGATGGCGCCGGACGCCCGCGCCAGACTTTGCCGCCGGCCCGCCCCCGCCGCCTGTACGTGCGGATGCTCGACCGCGCGGGGCCGGAAAAGCTGCAGGCGTGCGCCATCCCCGAAAGGCTCCCAAGAGGCAGCCAAGAGGCCCCCAAGAGCCCCCCAAGAGGCCCCCAAGAGCCCCCCGAGAGGTCCAAAAGACGCGCCCAAACGGCCCCCCAAGCCCTTGCAACGAGAACGAAATAATTCATTATTTCGTTAGTTCCTGGGGTGTGTGGGGGGGACTGGTACCAAGGCGGTCAAGAGCGAAGGGTGACGTGAACAACTCGACGCCGAGGCTCCCAAGAGCAAGAGCGGCGACGCAACAATCTCCACTGGCATCGTCAGGACAACAATCACCACTGTTGCCAATTGTTGGCCCCCTCCCCCCACCAACCTCCTTATCACCCGCAGGGTGGTCGTGTAGGTGTAAGTATAGGTGTAGGTATAGGTATAGGTATAGGTATAGGCATAGGTATAGGTATAGGTATAGGTGTAGGTGTAGGTGTAGGTGTAGGTGTAGGTATATGTTTATTTATATGTATAGGTATAGGTATAGGTATAGGTATAGGTGTCGGTGTAGGTATATGTACAGGTATAGGTATAGGTATAGGTATAGGTATAGGTATAGGTATAGGTATAGGTATAGGTGTAGGTGTAGGTGTAGGTATAGGTATAGGTATAGGTATAGGTATATGTATATGTACAGGTATAGGTATATGTATAGGTATATGTATATGTATAGGTATATGTATAGGCATATGTGTAGGTATGCATGTATGTATATATAATATTTTTATATGTATATATATATATATAATATATATATATATATATATATGAAAGAGCGTGTTCTAGCGCTGCTGGCGGAAAACCAAGGGGGGTGTCACTGGGGGTTCCCAGCCCGCCCCTCCCCCCCCTCGAAAACCGGGGTTCGAACTCCTCCCCCCGTCCCCCCCCAGTCTATCATGAAAAGGGGGGGGTCACTGCCGGTTCGAGCCCCCCCCCGAAAACCGGGCCGGGGTCACTACCGGTTCGACCCCCCCCCCCACCGTCGCCGCCGGCAAACGATTCCCGCTCCTCGGGACAGTTGGACCATGGTGGGGATGCTGGGACAGTGGTGGGAACGGTGGTGGTGGGGACAGTGGTGCGGGGACGGTGGGACAGTGGTGCGGGCAGTGGTGGGGTCGGTGGTGGTGGGGGCAGTTGTGAGGGGACTGCGGGGCGGTGGTGGGGGCAGTGGGACAGTGGTGGGGACGGAACTGGTGGGGACAGTGGTGAAGGCGGTGGTGAGGACACTGGTGGGGCAGTATAGTACAGTGGGGAAAGTGGTGGGTGCAGTGGGGACAATGGGACAGTGATGGGGACAGTGGGGACGGCGGGACAGCACAGTGGGGCAGCGGCTGGGACAGTGGGACAGTGGTGGGTGCAGTGGGGACAACGAGACAGTGGTGGGGGCCGTGGGGAAAGTGGGGAGAGTGGGACCGTGGTGGGACACTGGTGGGGAGAGTGGGGACAGTGAGACACTGGTGGGGGCACTGGTGGGGGCAGCGGGGACAATGGTGGGAACAGTGGGACAGTGGTGGGGACGGTGGTAGTGGGGACAGTGGTGTGGGGACAGTTGGAATGTGGTGGAAACAGTGGGACAGTGGACAGTGGTGAGGGCGGTGGCGATGACGGCGGTGGGACAATGGGACAGGTACAGTGGGGACAGTGGTGGGGACAGTGGGGACAGTGGTGGGAACAGTGGGACGGTTCAGTGGGACAGAGGCGGGGACAGTGGGACAGTAGGGACACTGGGACAGCGGTTGGGGCCGCGGAGAAAGTAGGGAGAATGGAACAGTGGTGGGAACAGTGGTGGGGACAGTGGGGACAGTGCGACAGTGGTGGGGGCACTGGTGGGGACAGTGGGGGCGGTGGTGGGAACAGCGGGGACAGTGGTGGTGAGGACAGTGGCGCTGGGGACAGCAGTGGGGGATGTGGTGCGGACGGTGGTAGGGACCCAGGAGTCGCTTGGTGGCGGTGAGCGTGGGGGGGGGTTTCGAACCGGTGGTGACCCCCTTCGGTTTTCTGGGTTTTCTGGAAGGGGGGGGTTCGAACTGGTAATGACCCCCCCCCGTTTTCCGGAGGGGGGGAGGTTTCGAAGCAGTAGTGACCCCCACTGGTTTTCGCGGGGGGGGTCGACCTCTCGGTTTTCTGGAGGGGGGGGGGGGGGTTCGAACCGGTAGTGACCCCTCCCTGTTTTCCAGAGGGGGGGGCTCGAACCAGTGAGTTTTCCCGCGGTTTTCCGGGGGGGGGGGGGGGGGGGGGGGGGGTTTTTGGAGGGAGGGGGGGTTCCAGCAGGGGAGGAGGGGGGGGGGCCCAGGTTCCGGAGGGAAGCGCGGGGGAATTTTCCACAGTAAAGCGGCGGTGGATCCCGCTCTCTCTCTGTCTCTCTCTCTCTCTCTCACTTTCGTATATATATATATATATGTATATATATATATGTATATGTATGTATGTATGTATGTATGTATGTATGTATGTATGTATGTATGTATGTATGTATGTATGTATGTATGTATGTGTGCATGCATGCATGCATGCATGCATGCATGTATGTATGTATGTATGTATGTATATATATGTATACACATGTTTATGTACAAACGTATCAAATTATATATATGATATATGCATGCATGCATACATACATACATACATACCCATATCTTCACATGAATACAGAACGGAATACATAGGATATAAGGAAAGCATACCTGAGGACTTCGTTGTGCGCGTTTGTATTATTTTTTCTGGAGGATGGTGGTTGCGGGAACGGAATTTTCATTGTAATTTGCTGAGTTTCGAGGCTTCGGGAACACAGACCCTCAGCTATTCACCAGGATTCGTGTCTTCAAGCCCCGCGCCGAGTTCTCATGAAATGACGGGGGGTTGAAAAGCATCTCGGGAGCGCCCACGCGTAGTAAATTACAAGGAACTGTGGGTTCGCATGGCACCACGGCACCCAATTCGGTACACCCTTCACATGGTTCGTGCCCCCTCTACAGGGAGCTCCACCGACGGCTCCAGTGGGAGGGTTCGCGTGGCACCACCGCACCCAATTCGGCACACACCTCACATGGTTTGTGGTGCAATAGGGAGCTCCACTGAAGGCTCCAATTGGATGGTTCGCACGGCACCACCGCACCCAATTCGGCACACCACTCACACGGTTCGTGGCCCCATGGGGAGCTCCACCGAAGGCTCCAGTTGGACGGTTCGCATGGCACCACCGCGCCCTATTCGGCACGCCCCTCACACGGTTCGTGGCCCCATGGGGAGCTCCACCGAAGGCTCCAGTGGGAGGGTTCGCATGGCACTACCGCGCGCAATTCGGCACACCCTCTCACACGGTTCGTGGCCCCATAGGGAGCTCCACCGAAGGCTCCAGTGGGAGGGTTCGCATGGCACCACCGCACCCACTTCGGCACACCCCTCACACGTTTCGTGTGGCCCCATAGGGAGCTCCGCCGAAGGCTCCAGTTGGACGGTTCGCATGGCACCACCGCACCCAATTCGGCAAACCCCCTTACACGTCTCGTGGCCCCATAGGAAGCTCCACCGAAGGCTCCAGCGGGAGGGTTCGCATGGCACCACCGCGCCCTATTTGGCACACCCCTCACACGGTTCGTGGCCCCATAGGGATCCCCACCGAAGGCTCCAGTGGGAGGGTCCGCATGGCACCACCGCACCCAAGCCGGCGCACCCCTCACACGGTTCGTGGCCCCATACGGAGCTCCACCGAAAGCGGTACCCACGATGCGGCCCTCGCATCTGCATATGGTTGAGTCCTTCGTCAGGCTATTTTTTTTGGAAGTCTAATGCGAAACTGTTATGTCGAAACGGCCACACCGTTTGGCTTTGAAGTTCTACATTTCTGACCAGAGATTTCGAAAGTGCGGTTTTCGCTTAAGACTTTCTCCAAACAACGATCTCGACTGGACTCTGAAACCATCGGGTTCGAATCCGAAAAGGCGGTTCCGCCCGAGACTTGAGCAACACAATGCTTGAGCAGAACACTGTGCTGGGGCCCCGCGGCCTAACGAGCCCCTTGAACGTCTCCTCTATTGTCGCGGTCGCAAGGCCACTGACAAAGTTGTGCCGGGGCTCCGTCGCCTGATGGGAGGCGCTGCATTTTGTCCGAACTGTCGTAGCGGCGAAGTATTCGTTGCAGGGCACGCCCTGAAATGCGGAGGAGGTTATTCCGGGTCCCCTAGCGCGGGCCCTTTTTGAGCGCTCCCCTCTCGCGGGCTTCATTCACTGCAACAGTGGAACTAGGACACAGAAAATCTGTGTTGGCCAGCGTGGACCCCAAACAGTGGGTTGTTGCGCTGTGGAGGTGAAGGCTATGCGTTGTATGCTATGTGGTGAGCTGGTGCGGTGACAATTGTGCGGTATAAGCCGTGTAGTGCGAGCAATGCCGTGTAAGCCAGGTGGTGTGATTTGGAGGTGATAGCTATGGGGTGTAAACTATGTGATGTGCGCCATGTGGTGTAATCTCTACGGTGTGAGGCATGTGGCGTACGCTATGTGGTGTAAGCTATGTGGTGAAAGCTATGCCGCCTAAGCCCAGAACACAGGACACTCACGAGGCTGCCAACCTGGCGCAACTTCGGCATCCCCCCCAAGCGCTCGGCGCGCCCACGATGCGCCCACGATGCGCCCACGAGGCGGCACGGGCGTCAACGTGGCGCAACCTCCGCATACCCCCCCAGCGCACAGGGCGCCCACGAGGCCGCACGGGCGGCAACGTAGTGCAACCTGGGCATACCACCCCGAGCGCG